CACAACAGTGCAGGTGAGTATAAAAGATGGACAATCTTCGGGGATTTTAGATTGGGAACACAACAAAACACTAACACTCAGGTATTTGGGAATAGTCAGACACCTGCTAATATCGATGATTCGTTTTTAGATCGAATCAATGAATTGTTAAACGAATTCAATCAATGGCACCAACGTGACCAAGAAGAACAATAAAGTCGTCTATCATTTTATATTTAGATCATATGTTACTAATTTTATGCTTTATTGTAGTCCATGTATGTTGATATACTTATTCCATGATAATTATATCTTTATCCTTTTGTGTGATGTAAATTAAATGCTGAATGGCGGTTCATGCAGGGAAAAAACATATCAATATTCGCATATTCATTCAAAAACATGAAAATTCTTAATGGATTACCCTCATTTCTTATTGAATTCCTAAAAACAATATTTATAATGAATTTTAATAATTTTTTTGGATTTTTTTAAGCTTTATTCTGACCGATTCACCCGATTTCCGATCCGGATGGCCGATTCACCGATCCGAATCGATTTTTTGGAAGCCCGATCCGGGTCACCGATCCATTTTTTAAACCATTGAGACCAACCATTAAGTATCTAAATTGGACAGCTTGATAGAAGAAAATATATTATAAAAACCTTTCCCCTCTTTCAATCAGGAACGACTTTAATTATTACCATAAGAAACAAAATTAGTGGTCCCATAAGACCAAATTGAACATTTGATCCCGTGGCCCAACCACCCCCTTTAAATAATTGTCCTATTGATTTCCAATAAAATATAAACAAAATATTCTCAATAGAATTAAATAACCAAAATGCCTCTAAAAGTTTAAGAAACATTTTGTTCATTGTATTTTATCAAAAATATTATTTTTAGGTGCACCCCATTGCGATGATGGCACATACTAAATTTAATATTCATATTATTTGTAAAAAAATTAAAAATAAAATACGATGAGACATCATAACTAAATGATTAGCAATTCACTTGATGTATATTGGATGGCTGGAAAGGAGGGAAATATATACGTTATATAGTAGGCGAAGTACAAAACCTTTCCCCTCTTTTAATAAGAACCCCTTTAATTACTACCATAATAAGAAAAACATTTGGTCCCATAGGACCAAATTGTACATTTGATCTCGTGGCCAAAACCACCACCTTTGAATGATTGTCCTATTGATTTCCACATTTGAACAAACATTTTACCGTCAAGAAGGTTATCCTCACTATCGACTATGGTCGACCGCTAGGAGAACCTCCAAATTTACCAGGAATTGGATTCAAATTTTCAATAGGCATCCTTTACAGTAATACGTCAATAATTCCCATGTGGTTTCTGAAGATTATACATGACTCGATTGCATCAGCCAGCACATGTTCCTAAAAATGATGGTAGAAACAAATAAGCAAAGAAAGACTCGTTACCCTCAACCCCTTCTCTCTATATGATATATCCCTTTCAGCCTCTGATTTTTCTGATTATATTGGATTCCCATACCTACGAACAATTAGAAAAAAAAAAAAAAAATAGGGCCGGAAGGGGGGAGGGGGGATTTATCAACATGTGATTAAGAGATGAATTATTTAACAGTACCCATTTTTATTTAATTTCAAAAAGCGCAAAATGGGTAAAATATTAAACGGTTGATAAGGTAGTTTTATTTTGATAAATCAAAATTACTTTAGAGCTCTTAAAATCGAGCATATTTATAACCACTTGAAAATATATTTTTATTGGATTTTTAAAGTGTATCTTACTTCTATAATATAAGGTTGCAATTTATATAAACTTTTTTTCTTGATTTTATAGATAAATACTATCTGCGTGAAAATTTTCACATCAATAATCCCCTTACCGTTTCTTTTGGGGGCTCGAGCGCATATCCACAAACAGTCATCTATATTAAAAAAATGATGCTTTTTTTCTGCTCAATTTTGTGTTTAAAAACCCGGATCATTGGGGTGGATCATTTACCCACATATTTGTATTAGATCATTGGATTGTTGATTCAGATTGGGTATAGATCAATATGAACTGATGATTCAAAAAATTAAATAAAAAAATAAAATTAAAATAGGGCTGTAGGGGTTGAGAAAAATATAAGTAGCAGGATGTGGGTGTTAGGAGGAAACTAGGTTAGGACACATACGATCCCATAACTAGTTCAGTTCTGACCGATTGCCATCCAAATTGGTGATCCGAACCAAAAATCTTTAATTTTAAAACACTGCGACAATCTACAACTACAATTTACAATTACCCTTGGATATCATAATGGTTAGGTTCCATTGCCTGCAATTACTTGAGCAAAACAACCATTTTATTTATAAGATTATATAATATATAAGACCATTTGTCTTTGGTATAAAGAGGCAAAATGTGAAGGCTGACAACTTTTCATGACATTCAAAAAAACTACTTTTAAATTTTAAGCTTGGTCAATAAAACGGACGCAACCTCCTAATTTTACATCCAATATTTCTGATTAATTGTGACCTCAATCTCATCATCATATATTTTTTCCAATCATTTGGGTTGGTTTAATTGTGACCTCCATGTACTAAATATAAACCATCTTATTATATACTTTTCTTTAATTTAAGCTTGCCTGTATTTTATTATATACTTTTCTTTAATTTAAACTTGCCTGTATTTTTGGGGCTTTTCAGGCCAGGAGTTGATGAAATCCTCCAAAGGATGGCAAGGATGCCTGAGAAAATCCCTCCAGTGCAGTACCTCTTCTTCTCTGATGTTGAAACTCGTCGAAACCCTCACTTCCTTTTTCGGGTCCTCTGAATAGAGCTTAGCTCTCTCTTCGACTGGCATCTCGAAGAATTCTTTGGCCACATCAAACATGCTCTCTATAACATCGTTTGGTACACCATGGTTCACTATCTGCTCAAAGAATTAGTGAGAGACAAGAAGAACGAAATTAGTTCCTTCTTATAGAAACTGAGAATAAAAGAGAGAGAGAGAGAGAGAGAGAGAGAGACGTA